CCCAACATATCCGTTTCAAACACTCATGCAAACAAAGAGTTGATTTCCTTGCTAAACAGTCAATTAACCTCGGTGAAGTTTTGCATTTGAAACACCAAAGTGCCTCATGATTTCAGAAGACAGGAAGCATTTGCATAGTGAATGACAATTCAGGGCAAGCAGAAGAGCCCTAAAGCGATATGGTAATGTTAATACAAGTTGATAGTCAGAGCCCCTGGGCTTCGTGGCATGAGAAGCTTCAGGGAGGTTGAAATACTGTTCTGCTTTTACTATTGATATATAGAGGCTTTCTGAGTAGCTTTTAGTTACTGTCCTTTTTGAAAATTTCATGTTATTTCTTGGTTATAAGAATGTATGTGGCTGTTTTGCTTTGGCCACAGAGGTTCAGTCCACCAGGGAACCAAAATGTGTGCCATGTGACTCGGAGCAGTGTTTCTATTTCAGCCAACTGTGTCTGATGAAAAACACCCTGTTTCACATTTCTGGAAGTGCTACAGTCACTCCTCATTCAGCTCAGTAGGATCAATCTGTAGACATGTAGATTCTTCCTTTTATGACGTTTTTAACAGTCACTTTATATATAGCTTAGGTGATTGCTTACTGTACATTTGTCTTCAAAGAGATTAAATAAGGAGTTTCTGCAGCCTTTTCTCCTGGGGGTTCAGCTAAAGGCATAGTAGTAGTCTGTGCTTTTTGACAGTGTAGTTATTGGGAAGAAAATGAGAAGATAAATGCAACAGAAATCTGGGATTTTGGGAGTTACTACCCATGATGAACTCATGCATTCTGTTTGCTCTTTGAATAGTTGGGCACAAGTGGGAAATTCCACCAGACTCATATAACTTGAGTGCAAATTGCTGCCTCATATTGTTACCTAAGTAGAGTAATAGAGTGGTACTTCATTGCTTCCTAAGAGTACCCTGGAATGCTGGGACTTCAGTGAAGGAGTAGTGCATTACAGGAAAACCCCTATAATGGAGTATAGTTCAAGTGGACTTCACTTTATTTAACTCTGACTTTTTTCAAACTATAAGAAATAGCAAAATAGCATACGGTGAAAGGTTGGTTGTTTTTTGATTGTGTTCCCCCCCCCCCCCAGCTCCAGCACTCAAATTTGAACTTGTTTCTTTAGTGAAACAGGAACTTAAACATTTCTTTCATGCACAAATTTTGCTTTTCTGTTCATGTTATTTGTATCAGGAGTCACTTCTACCTTACTCGGTGAAGAAAATACTTGAAACCAATAATGGAAACTCTCCTTTTGATTCAAAGGATTAGGATTTGGATTTGGCTGAAGATCATTTTATCTCTGCTTTACTCATGGCAGTAAGCCAGAGATTGTGTGCCATTGCCTCTTTGGTTGTATTCACCATTTGCCATGTGCAAAGAAGGTATGATTTGAGCTTGCTTTTTGTCATCTTGCTACAGAAGTTTCAGCACGCTTGGTTGAAGAACTTTAAATTTGACTGAGTGGGTCTGGTGCTTATATGTGTAGCACATACTGTACTGGGGGTAGTGAGAAACTGATGAGATGCGCAGTTAGTAAGATACTGGCTGTGTTTCATGAGGGGTTTACTTTGTGCTTACTGAAGCCAAGGAAGAAGTGGGGAATTTTATCGTATAAATTGCAGTTGATGCCAGGTGTCAAGATGTCTTTTCTTGCTCTTTCTGACACCCTGGCAAAATACATACTAGATGAGAACAGATATGCAGCCCAGTGCATCTTCTTCTATGCAGTTCCTACTGACCATGCTAGGATTTCATTCAAGTAGCTTGAGATTGGGCTGCATGGTATATTCTTACTCTGTATTAAGCCAGATCTATGTGCACGTTCACAGTGTTGCTGGTGTTGAAGATGTACTTGAAAGGTACTTGACTTCCATCCTTTGCCCCATTGCCCTTCCCCTCCCTGTTTGGAGCCATGGAAAAAGTGATTTTTTGGGGCAGCTAGAACTGATAAGACCAGTAGCAAACCAGTTCCTTCTTGTAAGCTGTAGTGACTTTTAGCCTGACCCAGCAGACAGAAGTTTCCCTGTTCCTTGTTCCCTTCATGGAAGGCAGGATTAAGTTTTGATAGTTTCTTGTTTGTTTTCTTTCTGTTTTCTATGCTTTTATTGCTTAAGGTGTCTGTAGTACCTTAAAGCTTGACTTACAATTGGATCAGATATTCCTTTGGCTATTTTGAGTTTATGGATTATATCTTGGTAATTAATGATCAACTAAGGGAAATAACCCCAGCTGTTACTGAAAAGAATAGCTGATACTGAACTGTAAGAATGGGAGGGAACTGTGAGAATGTGGGCATACAAGATTATCTCAGGGTCAGAAATATGGTCAGAAAATGAGTAAATGAGAAGTAGGATGGGAAGGGCGTTAAGGTTTTTGAGAGTAATTTACACCACAGTTTCTAAGATGGTTGGGACTTGAGTAATGGAGAATGACTAATATGTTAAGAAATGAATAGGTACTTTTGGGAAACTGTAGCAGCAATGAAATCTGAAGATCTGTGCTAGCTGTGCATAAATACTCACAGTGGGAACCTATACAACTGTGAAAATGCAGGCAGGAAATTGTATTTGATTTGGATGGTGTCATTAACATAATGTGCTAATCAGGAAAGAGGGAGACTTGGAGAATGGAAAGATGATGAAGAGGTTGAATTTCTCCTCTTATGTTATGCCTCTTAGAGGACTCCTATATATATCGCTTGGCAGAATTGTAAGTGCCAAAGTATACAAATAGAGTGGTATTTAAATGAGCAGAAGGAATGTATTTGCAACAGCAGAAAAGGTAAACTTTTAAACAGGTAACACTAAGACCTTCATAAAACTGGAGAGTAATCTGCCAAGATAAAAAGGTAATAAATATCCCTGTAATTGGCACATTTGAAAACAAATGATGGAAGACTTGGTCAAAAGTGACATAGGAGTAAGTCTCAGACTGATACAGAGCAAGCAAATATGTCCTTAGAAGTCTTGATTTTGCAGATGTATTGTGTACAACGGAAGAATGACTATTGAAAGCTGCATTTGATGAGTAGCTTAAATGGGTGACTTATCAGTTGAGCTGTTAAAATAAATCTAAGAATATTAGTCTGTTCTTTTTGCACAATGGCACTTTAGTAATGAAGTTCAGTATTAATAGGTTTTTCATGAGCTGCAACAGTTGCATACCTTATTTTCTGACTATTGCAGGTGCCTTCGCTTGCAAGATGGTACCATTTGTTCAATCCACTGCTATTGTAACTGAGATTCTTACAATGACCTGCATTGCTGTGGAAAGACACCAGGGAATTGTGCATCCACTAAAAATGAAATGGCAATACACCAATAAAAGAGCTTTCACGATGCTTGGTAAGACTTTAGGCATCTCCAGTAATCATGTGTATGGAGGAATAATCTTCAGTGTAGCTGGTGTAGATGGCATGACAGAACAGAAGGCACTGAGATGACCAGTGATTCAGAGGTGGAGTTAATAAGTCTGGCAACGTTTATAAAATAGCTCAAGGATAGTGCCTATATGTATAGTAATTACTAGCCAAAACCCTGATGATTTTTTTTTAAGGAAGTGTTAAAATGTACAAGCAGTGCTAAGGCAATGTCACAGCTGTAAATGGTCCTTCCATTGTAACTCAAAGAGAACATGCATAATGCTGCCTGTGCAAATTAAGTTGCCTTTACACTTGAATACCAATAAATGAAGGTAGGTAGAAAGAAAACTGGTAACAAAAGAGCATGCTGTTATTGATGTGAATGTTGACTGATGTATGCCTCATGTAGAAAACTTTTGTTCTTTATTTAAATTGCCTACTTTGCCTGACTCGTTAAAGATGAAGCTGTTAAACTGTTCGTACCAAACTTATACTGCTTGTTGTACAAAATGTTGAAAAATGTATTTGTTTACAGGCATAGTCTGGTTGCTGGCAGTTATTGTTGGGTCACCTATGTGGCATGTGCAACGCCTTGAGGTATGTTAGGTGAAACGGGAATTTACACTTAAATTTAGTCCTTGCTGGACCTTGTTGTACCTTTAGCAATGAAATTGAATAAACTCCTAAGAAATGAGAGTGTGATAAGAGAAGTGGAGCTTTTGTTCTGTGTGCCAGCATGAGAAAGGCTAAGGATTAGGATTTGCATGCAGTGGAAGAAGGGCTGCTAGCAGGGACTGGTCACGTCTACCCTCCCCAGTTATGTCAAAGAGCAGTAATTACATCTCTGACTTCCACTGTGGCTTCCTTTTGGTTTATAGGTGCGCTGGCACACAGCAGTGTAGGGCTTAGATTACTGTTTCAGGATGACATAGTGTTCTCTGAGATTTGGAAGAACTGTGCCTAGTTTAAAATGTAATTAGCTGCCCATTATAGTTTAAGGAGTTACCATACACTTTTGGAGGGAAAAAAAAAGGCTTGTCAGAATCTGCTGCTCTGCTTCTGAGTCTGAATATTAACAAATCACTTTTTTTTTTTTTTAAAGTGACTAATATGTGAGGTTTCTATACACCCATCTTTACTTGCAAAATGTGTAGCCAAGGTCTCCTTTGAAAATCCTCATTAAAAACAAGTTTTGAGGAGGAGTGCAAATCAGAGCATCTCTTGACCTCTCTTAGTCAACTTGGATCAACCCAATACTTGATGTGGAAAAGTGCTTGGAAGAATTTTGTCACTTTGAAAAGTCTCTCTGTTTAATTTTGGTTGTTGTATTAAGAACAAGGAATATTTGAATGTGCTTGGTTGTTACACTTGGGGTAAACACTGTAGTGACTCATCTCCTTTACACTTGTTACAGGTTAAATACGACTTTCTATATGAAAAAGTGTATGTTTGTTGCTTGGAACAATGGGCCAGCCCGATTTATCAGAAGATATATACGACCTTTATTCTTGTTATACTCTTCCTTCTTCCACTGATGTTGATGCTTTTTTTGTACACTAAAATTGGCTACGAACTCTGGATTAAGAAACGAGTGGGAGATGCCTCAGTTCTTCAAACCATTCATGGGAGTGAAATGTCTAAAATATCAAGGTTGGTAAAGTAAAATACAGCTGGAACTGTGACTTCTAGAAAGATTTTTTTTGTTGCTGGCAGTTCTTGAAAACAACTGAAAAAAAATCTGTCTTTCCTTATCTGTTAGGAAGTCTACAAGCATAGACCAGATTTTTAAAGCTAGCTAGTTATTTAACACTTAGATACCCAATTTAAAGCAACTTAAACATATTGTTTTCTTCTAAGTATAGTGTAGCCACACCTTGGAAGTCAAGCCCGTTCAATAAATGTCATATTATACATTGTGAAATGCTTGTTTTGAAAAGATGTAGGCCATGAGTTACAAGATGACTTGGAAAATGCTGCTGCATTATTTCCATATGTTCTGTGGAAAGTTCTTTATATAATTCTGAGACTGTGAACAGTGCTTTATGATCCTATTATAAGTTAAATTGGCATATGGGAAAAAATCAGAATTCATTTAAAAACCACTTTGGTACAGCGTAACTTGATATAGCTTCCAAAGAGTTTTGGGTGTTCTCAGATGTGTTTGTATGAGACTATCCAGATGGTAATACTTTATCTGAGAAGTTATGAAAATCAATAATTATCAACTTTGCTATTTAGCACTAAATATGGGCTACCCTTAATATTGCCTCATGTTTTTTCCTTTCATTTGGCAAATTGATGTGTTACCTGATGTGCTAGAGACCTCTAACAGCTCTGCTCATTGAGGAGAGTGTCACCTTAAGTATTGACTGTAAGAATACTGACAAGCAGCTTAAAGAAAAACGATTCCTTAGATATTTGTCTAACAGAGTGACTAAAGAAGCAGACCCTTGTAAGTCAAAAGTGAAAGAGGGTACAATCTCACAGGAGTTAAGGTGACATGTAATCTTTGGGCTACTCCTCAGCTTATTTTCATGCAATGGGGAGAAGGAAGATCCTGTAACTGCTACCAGTGAAGTGCTGCTGCTTTAGCTCAAGTGAGAAATCCATCTTGGGATCTATAAATGTAGTTACATGAATTATCTATCAGCTTGGGGATGATGATAAATTAATGTATACCTTGAGTTTGTGAGAGATTACAGTGGAGGCAGGGAGTGTGTTTCTTGCTCTTAGGCCAGCACTTCACCTACCAGCAAAGGTTGAATGTTTGCAGGTGTAGTTTCACTTATTCTCTCAAATTCTCTCTGTAATCAGGTGCTGCAGGTGTGGTCAGTGCTCCCAGATCTAGGACAGGACTCTTGTTTTTTGAACTATTAATGGAATTCCATGTGTGCTTTTTCCCCTCCCATCTCTTACTATTGGAATTGCATCTGCTTGAATAGAGTGAAAATGCCTTGCAAGATATGCTAATGTCTGCTTGCTGCAGCTGCAAAGTGCATTGCTTTCCCAAAAGAAAGAAATAAAAGGTGTTAATTGATGTACTACATTTATATGATGCTGCCTTTTTGTTTCAAAGGCAATTGTGTACTTCTGAGCATTCTTCCGGGGTTTTATTTGCATCTGCAACCATCAGAATACATTTACAGATCTAACTTGAAGAGACACATCTAACTACCAGTCAATTCTTAGTGATTCAGTATGGAATGTCTTGATGCAATTTCAGGAAGAAGAAGCGAGCAATTGTTATGATGGTGACAGTGGTGTTTCTCTTTGCAGTCTGTTGGGCCCCTTTTCATGTGATTCACATGATGATAGAATACAGTGAGTATCTGCCGTGTGTTATACAATAAAGCCTTTCTTAGTTTTTTTTTGATAAAAGAACTGCAGGTTGTGAAAAGCCAGTGCTGCTGCAGCATTTGGCTATAGAATAGCAAAGGTTAATGTTGTGCTTATAAATCCTGGATCACTGTCTTGTAAGAGATACATAGCCAACAATAGATGAATTACTCTGAAGTCTATGAATGATAGATCTACATGGAAAATGAGTACATTAAAAAAAAAAAACTCATATCAGATGTAGTGTTTGGGAGATACCTTGTATCTGAGATACACTTGTGTGTCAGCCAGATCTCTTCTTCCCTGCTTTGTGAATTTAAAAAAAAAAAAAAAGAAAAAAAAAAGAGGAAAAAAAAAAAGAAAGAGAAAATCTTTGTGTCTTGCTGTAAACCCTACTGAACTTTGTTGCAGGGTGGGTAGGAGGGAACCCAAACTCCCTACCAGCTCTTTTAGAACATAAGCTCTTCAGAAAGGAGATTGTCATTGCTTCTCAATTTGTACAGCACATAATCCAGTCCCAAAAAGGAGGTTTGCTAGGCCTTACTAGACTCAAGAAAAAGCAAGACTTGACTATTAGGATGGTGAGCATATCTCTGTAGATTCTTTTGCTTTCTATGTCTGTCATACTACCCTCATTTGCTGAAAGGTCAAAAGTACCCAGCTGGAAGGTAAAAGTTATTTCCAAGTATAAAACCTCTTGAACAAGTAACTTTTAAATTCAAATTTAATTTTAATTTAATGCATGAAGACTTCTATTTGCATCCACTTAAGCTGTCATACTGCTTTGAGTTAAACTGCTGTGAAATACTTATCATACCTTCACTTGCCCTGGGTTTAATGAGGTAGACATATTGGAAATATAAATACCAGACATCATAGTGATAATACCCAGTGAATCCAGTTGAACTTTTTCAGTGTTCTGGACTGGATGCTAGCTTGGAAATGTCCTCAATGCTTGTTATCTTCGCTTTTTGCTATTTGCCCTATTCTCTGGGGTCTTGCACTACCCATCTCCTGCATGGGTACTGGGATAGTATGGGGGACTATGCAGCAGGCTATGTGTAGGAACAAGAGGAAGTTTTCAGTAGTTGTGCTCTGCTTGCCAAAGGCAGCAGCTGTTTCTTTGCTTTCCATCACGTATAAGGTTGTAGCTGATAAATCGGTAGTCCTGCAGCCAGTCAGCTGAACCACATGGTGTTTATGCCTGGGCAGAATCAGAAGTGCAGAAGCTGTAACTTAAAATTGTCTGGGTTGTCCCATGTTAAGGTTGCCCATAACACTCCATGAACTGTTGGCTCTCTTCATTGCTAATTTCAGGTGCTACAAGGCCTTTATTTTACTTGCCATGTAAACGTTTGTAGTGCCTATCCAAAGTTTGGTTGCTGCTGAATTTGAATTCAAGGAATTCAGTCCTCTGTAATCTCAATGATTAAAGAGTGAGAATTGTGACCAAGATGATGCATTTTTACCTCCATGAGCTGATCTGTGTCAGCAGAGAGAACGAAGCCGTGTAAGGTCAGTGAGAAGACAGGGCTTGGTGTTAAAGTACTTACACATTAGATATGGACATGAAACGCAGAACCAGAATAACTTGAACAAACAAGGCCTGTACTTAGCAGACTGGAAGCTTTCTGTCACTTGGCCATTGGGCAGGTTTTTTGGTTCATAAATTGCCTCTTTTGAAAGACTCTGTCCTTATTTACATATACACAAAGCAGGACTATGTGGTAGATCTTGGTCTTTCCTTGCTGATGAAACCCTGTTGATAATATTAAGAACCTCCAGCAAGGTCTTTGTTGATTTTAAACAAAAGCTTCTAATGCCAGACTGGATATAAGTAGGCTAAGTAGTAGGCATTTATGCCATTCTGTGCTTACAGCATATTTCCTTTTTCCTTTCCAGGTAATTTTGAAAAGGAGTATGATGATGTGACAGTCAAAATGATCTTTGCAATCGTGCAGATTATAGGATTCTTCAATTCTATTTGCAACCCTATTGTGTATGCTTTCATGAATGAAAACTTCAAGAAAAATTTTTTGTCTGCCATCTGCTTCTGCATTGTCAAAGAAAATGCATCACCAGCCAGGCAACGTGGGAACTCGGGGATTACTATGAGGCAGCAAAAGGCAAGTGTTTCTCTGAGAGATCCCATTGACTCAGACGAAGCCAGGAGGGAGGCATTCAGCGATGGCAACATTGAAGTCAAGTTCTGCGATCAGCCAGCTTCGAAGAAGAATTTGAAAAGGCATCTTGCCTTGTTCAGCTCTGAGCTTACTGTGCATTCTGCATTAGGAAACGGACAGTAGCATCACAAAAGTTTTGAGCGTGGAAAAAGCATTCTCTTTGTGTGATAACTTTGAATAAGCCATTTAAAATAATTTTCTACTTTGCATGCTGAAATGAGGGGAAAAAATTTGTGGATTATAATAATGCTGGGATGCTGGTTGAGAAAATGTAATATATTTTATAAAGATGAGGAGTAAAACTTTGGAAAACAATATTACCGTATGATTTCCGGGGGGGAGCGGGGGGGGGAATTCTTCCTCAGATAATTTAGGGTTTGTTTGCCCTCTGCTTTAGGTAAACCAAACAACTATTGCTTGCTCTGGTTATTCTGTGTCTGGACACTGGCACACTGCTAGACCATACACAGCTGAATGCCAGAAGACAGGAACTATGGAGAGTGCACACTTTTTTTGGACAACTTGGAAATCTGACGTGGGTCTAACACTGTAAAATCTGCTCTCTGCAGCTCTGAGGACAGAGAAGCTTCAGATCTGAGTTCAGGAAAAATGCAGACTGAGATGCAATTCTATTTTGGGAAAAAAGTATATGAAAGAGCCAGCCAGAATTTGGCTCTGAAGAGATTAAGATTTAAACATTGCATGCTTGTTCAGATTTTGTTAACAGGAAGCATATTCAAAATTAACAATGCATGTGTAATTAATGTGCTGTTTTTACAGGTTTACAAATTTAAATGCCAGTGTAGTGCCCTGTAAACTGCATTGTTCTGCTGAAAAATGTAGAAGTTGAAAAAGTGCTGTATGAGAGTGTGCAGAAGCTGGAGGTGTGGTCTATAGAGTAAACACTGAGTTTAACTTAGTCATGCTTGGGTATGTGACTTATGGGTTGAAAGTGTGGGGTTGCCATTTTCTGGAGTGATATAAGGGCCAGATCCAGAGTTTGTTGGGACTCTACAGAAGACTTTGAATTGAATGTCACAGTCTTTTGACCAGACATTTCTCTGAAGACATGCACAAATGTTTCTGTCTCCGCATCATCTTCAAAGTGGATTAATCACTGTCTAAGAACAAGGCCAGTGTGTATTTTTAGGCTTCACAGTAAATTATGGGGTTGAAATCCATATAAATTCTAAACACTTTTGCTCTCAGTGAGTCAAACTGAAAAATTGTAAAAGATGCTTACAAGTGTGGGACTGGGGGAAAAGTGTGATCTAGAATGGTACACTGTGATCGGATCCCATAAATGATCTAGAATGGTACACTGTGATCGGATCCCATAAATGAGGCTCTGAAATACATAATTTGCAACTCTAGCTGAGGTTAGGTTGGATCCTTCTAAAGCCTGGGGAATGTTGGTGCTCTCTCCTGTCATCCCTTGCCTCACCGAAGGGACCTTGGTGCTCCCTTGACAGTAAATGTCAAGATTCTTTTACATTGCTCCTTTACACTTAATTGTAAATGAAAACTTAGACTAAGTTATTCTTGTATAAATTGGAAGTAACCTGATCCTTCTGTAAAGTTTACAGATTTCCATTGGATAAGGCATTCTGATGCTGGTTTGTGACATACTCTTTATTTACATATATATTATTTATATTGTATATGATATACTCCCATGCAATGATGGGGAAGATTCCTGACTTGTTTTAACGGCCAGGAATTAAGAGCGTTCCTATTTACGTAAGCATACGTATTAGATAAAATAGCAGTTTGCAGGAGCTGTGTCTGGGTAGAACAACATGAGTGAGGTCAGGTTCTGCTTTAGACAGTCATGCAGACATGGCCCTGTGCATTACCTTTGAATAATGCTGTAAGCAACAGCAACAATTTTTGCCTGTAATTATAACTGTGACTTCCTTTGAAGACCATTTCTGTCTTAGCTTGTCTTTCATCTTTGTAGACAGGGGTCTTTAGTAAAAGTTTTCTGCCCTGGAGAATAGGGGCTAACAGTGGGTTATTATTATAGTTTTCCTCAGTTGGTGTAAAGTTTATCTGGCTGCTGCTAACTGTGTTTTGACAAATTCTGTAACTGAAAAACAATTTATTTTAAGCTTCTTATTTATTTGCACTGCTAATTTCAATGACAGATTTTTAACAAGTATTTAACAAAAACTTACAAGTATTTTATGTCTTTGTTTTGTCTTACCTGTTTCTTCTATTGTCTCATAAAATGTTATGTCAATAAGTAATTGTTGTAGTATTGTATTAATTTTTTCATTAAAATTCCTTTTAGGCATTGCTGGTGCTGTTTTGCACTGGGAGCATCTGCTATAAACTTCACTGTTTGAGCCTTTCTTTGTTTAAAGATTCGTATGAGCTTACATGTGCTTTTTTAGTGATTAAATTCCAGTCCTGTTACAGGTGCCAGCTGTTACTGTAATCCTGAGAGATGTGATTTAAAAGACTTTACAGAATAAGGTGAGAGAGGGGGAAAAAACTTCCAGTCTCTTGGTAGGAGAGAAGTGGTAAATGTTTCGGCACAGATATATGTGGCTACAGTTAGATTAAATATAAACCAAACTACTAAAGACAGTTCTTGTACTGTCCGTAATAGTAACTGTATTATTTGTGCATTTTTGACACAATAGTTTTCTCAGAGCCAGATAATCTTGTGAGAAGTCCTAGCTGCAGGGAATAGAAAAACCTTTATTGACTTAAGCAGAACCAAGATTTTGCTCTTTTTTTTTTTTTTTTTAAATATGTCAGAGCTTCAGCTTTGATTTAACTCGCAAAATAAATTGTTGTATTAAATTGGGTCAGTTGTCAGTCCAGGCTAGTAGCCTGTCTGTTGCAATGGCTCATATCATGTGTTTCTGAGTATGTGGCTGTAACTGAGTACTTCAAACCAGTGAAAGCTAGCACTGCTGTGGAAAGAGCAGCCCTGCTGTCCTCCCAGCTTGCCCTGCTTATTCCCATCTTATATTAACAATTGCATGGTGAATCTGATGGGAAAAATTTCTGGCTAATGATTTTACCAGCAAACAGAAAAGATAACTATGCTTATTTCCCTGAACTGAGAATATTTATCAAAAGTGTTGTGTTCTTTGAGGAAAAATGCTTCCTCAAAAAAATTTCTTTCTAATATCTTAGTTACAAATCGCTTATAATTTCTTTGACTTCAACGAAGTTAAAGAGAAACTTATTTTATTCTCAGCTGTAAGGGGCTAAGCCTTAAAGTTACGATGAGATGATGCCAGGAACTGGCATGTGGATGAAGACAGGAGCCTGAAAGGACACATACAACTGAACAGAGACTCTGGAAATTTGAATGGACCAGGAAAAAGTGTCAGATGTGTAGTCTTGCTCAACTGAAATCAGAGAGTATAAAGGAAAACAGTGAGTAGAAAGGAGTGAACCCTCTCAGTAACTGCCTGTAGCAGTGCATCTGCCACAGAGTTCC